CAAATCATCATCTGACAGAGTAAGTAGGCTCGCACGACCTCCCCGCTGTAGTACTCAGCGGCAAGTGCCCGTCTCACGGGCCACGATGCCCCGGCCGGCTACGAAACATACGACTGGCTGCGTGACTAAGAAGTGCAGGCCGAGGGGTGACTGCCAGCAGACGCAGATTTCAAGCGTCGTGCAGTACGCAACAGACAGATAGCCGAAGTGAATTCCCTTCGTTGTTCGTTTTAATACAGGGACGTTGCCGAAATCTCAATGCATCTATATCTCTATTCTCGTTTTTCTCCAAGGAATAAGCCTATTACCACTTCCTTTTCTATGTGAACAATATTCATCACAACTACACTTGACAACTTAAATATACTCTTCGATGCGTCATTGTTGGTACATTATGATATATCATTGCACCTTGCACAACATTGAGAGCCAATCGACGGCCGTTATATCTGAAAATCGCGATCACGAACGCCTGATATAAACGACTTTACAACTACATCTTTACTGGCCTGAATCAGTGCACGGCTTATGGAGTGGCAGGGTTTGAAGGACTTTATTACGACGTCATGAATGCCAAGGTGATCTAGAAATACGCTCCTCGAAAAAGACTCCTTATATTTGCGGGCATGCAGTTCAGAAACTAGAGGGGTTTATGGCCTTAATATGGGCAGGGCTGTTAACTACACAGACTGGTCTTTAAGATGACTTTTCTGTTCAAACCCTAAACGAATATGGAGCACCGTCTAACATATGTTTCACGGAGTAAACATGAACGCGTTTCGCGGTCAGCCATGATATCGCGCTGAGGATGCCGGTCGTCGAGTCACGTCGGGCACTGCACATCAATGCCGATATTCACCCAAGCCACAAAGGACCCCTCATGTAGTTTTGAGCGAACTGGGTTTGTGGAACGTGCCTCACTGTACGGTGACTTAGGTCACCGAACGTAAAAAAGACGAAGAAAAACTGCAACAATCATCGCTGAAGCAAAAATCACATCTACACTTCCAGTTTCAACTATTTTTTTCAGACAAATAGGGCCATATGGGTACCGATTTGGAAGGGCCAGGTCTCCATCTAAAACTGAGGGTACGAAAAGCCTCTACAAGTGGCCAGACAACTTCGGTGGCGTCCTAGCGAAGGCCCAAGAGTGGGACAAACTTTCCCTATTTTCTCAAACTTCATGGACTATTTAAGCCGCCGTCATTGTTGGCATTTCCATATTACATATCTGACGACCCGAAAAGCAACGCTGTAAGGCACCTCAAATTCGTGGCGAAAGCAGGATCTTGAGGATACACGATGCACTCAATTTTCATACCACGCAGAGTTGCGACGTAAATTGCAGCTTTCCCACTCAGCCCCACGTTGTAATACTTGTTTCCGCCTCTGGGTATAACCCGGATCAGCGGCAAATGTATGATACACGAAGTGTGTGAAGTGTGTATATATATATATATATATATATATATATATATATCGCATGCAAGTGTTCTCTAAGACCATGGCGTAGGTGCGTTTAATAAGCTTTTTCTGCGCTTGCTCTAGTTTTCTGGGAGGAAGCTTCATTCTCTGGAGGCTGGCGCAATTGAAACACTGTCACCGGAACTGAACAAGCAAACCAACCCCTCAGCCACCCCTCGCCTTATTTAGAGACAAGCGATACCATCAGTGGACTGTATATCTTACAATTCAGCATTGTTTGCCGCCTCAATCCCTATGCTCCTAAAAATGCCGACTACCTTATTTAGACACTGGGCTATTTGACGATTAAACTGATCTTGGTTATGCCTAATCACTATGCCTTACTGGTTATACCTTACTGTAACATGTAATCACATTTTCGTCGCTTGTATGCCGTATGTGTGTACCTTTGTAAATGGAATATGTAACTCCGAAACATCAACCCAACCAATAAATGCCAAAAATCGGTGAATTACTTTTTAGTCTCAATAATGGACAGACAACCGTAATCAGAAAACTGGAGGAAGCGCAGAAAAAGCTTATTAAATGCACCTACGCCAAGGTTTTTACCAACGCGTTTATAGAACGCTACTTGCTGCCTACATATATCAATATGTATATATATATATATATATATATATATATATATATATATATATGTATATATATACACACGTAACGGAGGATTTAGGAAGCAGGTTTTCTTTTGAACCTTGCTGGCTGTCCATCGCAACATAGTCAGCGTTGATGTCCTTGGTAGTTTGTTCAAGGCTTCATATTGTGCACTCATCGTTTTTGGAGTGCCGATGGAGAATGTTGCCAAAGTTATTTATTCAACGTTTCGATCAGTTCCATAATCATTTTCCAGCAAGAGCAGTACATTTCAAAGTACAAATACTAAACATTTACATTTACATTTATAAACATTTACACAGTACAAATACTAAAGTTTTTTATCGTATTGCCATGAAACGCGCCGTCGAGACCTTTGCAAAATAATGTTTACATGCTGGATGCTCTAATTCCAAACACACTTGCATCAACCACATTCAAATGTCACTTGTCCGGTAGGGTTGCATTAGGGAAGGGGGGGGGGAGAAGTCGCATCAGTTGCATGTCGTTAGGTGGTAGCTGTGTGAGTGGTTTGTTTTCTATGTTGATAGACACCATGTCTCTGATGCATGATGTTTCAAATGTCACGAGGCCCATATGGTCTATGGTCTGCGCAAGCATGGTAGTGCTCACGAATGACATACTGCAGGTGAGTGGGATGATGCAGTGTGTCCGCGCACGTGTTTTCGCTGAACCCTGTTTATGTTATTTGTTTCCACCTTCTCTTTCAATTCCTTTCCTTTTTGTTTTCGGTTGGGGCACATGTCACAGTGAAGTATGTCCTTCGAACAGGAGGTTAACGGCTAGCATTATATCGCTTCCTAGCCTCGGCATAGGGGATTTCATGCTCGACTTTTAGGGTACATACGTCTTTTTCTTGGTCCACACAGGACACTCATGTGACAGACAAGTGTGCCCTGCCGCGCCACGACTCATGCACTTCGCCTCATATTTACCCTCATGCACATGCTCACCACACTTCAGACATGTTCGGTCGTTTGTGCGTCTTCCCTCAGGGTGCCCATATTTACCACATCTGTAGCAAGTTAATGGGTTGGGCACATGCTTTTTGACATGGTAGGTTATGTAGTCCAGTTCAAGTTTGGGGGGGGGGGGGCAAGTTGGCACACCAAAGGTGAGAAGTATGGTAGGGGTATTCTCGACCCTTCCTCCCACCTTCTTTGTAAACCTCTGCTCCCACCACACCAATTTTCTTAAACCAGTGAACGATCTCATCCTCAGGAAGGTCCATTAGGTCATAGCCATGTATAGTGCCTTTGCTAATGTTAAGTTTGGGGTCACGGTAGACCTCACACTCCTCTCCCACCAGTGATGATGCCTTCAGAAGCTTTTCAGTTTGGTTCTGTTCTTTTGTTTTTGTTGTTCTTATCAGGAGGCTTCCATCCCGGAGGAGGCTAGCCTTCTCTACTTTGGTCTGTGTACCAATAATATTCCGAAGTCCTGCCTGAATCCATGGCCATCCCTTGGATCTCATAGGCTTTCCACATTCCAAGGTCACTCTCAGGTATGAACCGGCATTACGGTCCACGACGTCATTCCAGAAGTTCTCCACCACATCTTCGGCTTGGGATCGCTTCCCAGGTCGACTATGCACTACCACATCTCCATTCAGTCGGTCAGCGTCAATTCCCACCCCTAACCCAGATCTAGATTTGGAAAATTTTATTAGTCTGTCGTTGAGCAATGGAACAAAGTAGACACTTGAAAAACACAATCACAAACACAATCGAAAGAATCCGCTGACTGATGACCTCGCCGACAGCCTCCTGGGCACGTCCTCCCTGGATCGCTGCAGATCCCACAATGACGTTTCCTAACCACCTCCACCATGCTCCCCGCTGACCACCAACCGGCCGACCTTGCCGCGGCCTAGGAGCAACTCGTACTCAAATGGGAATTGGTATCCCAAAATGATGAAGGTTTTCTCCTCCCATCGAATGAGAAGAAATTCACGATATTCACCTCTAAACAGCCTTATTTCCTCTTTCAGCACTGGGTCACCGGGCTGCTTTGTTTAGCATCTATAAGTACTAAACATCACCACTTTTGGTGCGAATCGGTACTAAACCCCTCAGGCCCTAGCTAAAATCCGTTCCCCTCTTAACGAAGATCCGTACTAACTAGGCTCTAGGACGTGTTGACCGGCCGGATAGAGACTGCCCGCCACCTGGTGGTAGCCAAGGCAAAAGCAGCGCCTTATCGAGAACTTCGCTCATATTTGTAAATGTAGCAGGTTAAAATACTTTTTTATATAGGTTCTGAGACATGTGAAGTCCAAAGTTTAATCCACAGCTTGCTTTGACAAAATACAAACAATCAAAATATGGTCACTAGGTTCGCAAAGCAATCCTCAGATATCGCTGCGTGATGTGCCAGAAATAACGTGAACCGTTTCTCCCCAACATCAACAGAATTGGTAGGAATATAGTGCTACTATTAGTAGGTAAGAATTATACGGGTTGACTTTCTTTTGCAAAAAATAACATCTGGGCATGATGTATCGTGTAATCGGTATAGAAAACCTTGTCGGGACTAGATCAGCGGGAGTAACGGCTTTGTTCGCTCTTGTGAAGGCTTTAGCGAAATGGCGGCCAAGATGGCTGCGACCAAAACTTGGACAATAGCTGGTAGATTTTTAGTAATTCCGGAGTAAATTTGAATCGCATGTAGGAGTCAAGATTGGGGTGCACGATTGGTGCATGCCGCATGAATGCGGATGTTGCTTGGGGTCGGGTCCTATTTCATATCTCATTGAATGATAACTTTCCAAGCAGATATATAACATTCAGTGTCCAAAGTTGATGACACCATGAGAAACAAAGCGTTGTAACATGCATGGTGGCTTAATGTTTGAGAGGCAGATCAACTTAACAGTTTAGGTACGTGCATACCTACCTAGGTGGCATGCTTTTTAAGATGGGTCCAATTAAGGAAGTGAAACCAACAGCTACCAGCATGTGTTGTCCAATGGGTCAAGGAAGTGCATGTACCAATGGTGAACTGTCCCTCTCCATGTACATGGTGCTTGGTGGGAAACAACTTGGTTTTTATTTGATGGTCAGGTGCATCTGCAGTATGTTGGAGTAATAATGACATCAGCTTTGTGCTCAAATTCATATCATTTTTTTGCAAGAGTGTTGCATTGCTTAGACTGGTGAGAAGGTTTTAAAGATGGTAAGAAAATTCCCACTTTTGATTTTACATGCTGTTAAACTGTTTGGCTTCAACTAAGAATTTGAACACAAGAGAGAAAGGTCTAGACAATAGGGACTATGAGCACTGTGAAATTGTTTTGGATTTTAATTATTCAAGATCATTTTGTGAGAATGTAATGGTAAGGTAGTGAGTGCTTATGTGCCATAGCCAGGAGGACCTGGTCTCATTCCTGGTTGAGCCATGGTCCCGAAACATTAAGATTGCTATTGCAGGTAGTAGTTAGTAGCAGTCTAAAGGGGTGTGCAGTAGTGTGCATCACAGTTTGTTTTTAAGACAAAATGTTTTATTATGCTCATCACTAGGACAAGTGATTGAAAGGTTATATGAATTCCCTTACTAAAACAAAATGCAGTCTTCAACTTTTATTTCAGCTGCAAATAGGTTTGAACCTTTCTAGCTACCCACACCAATGCCTCTAGTCAGTAATCTTGTAATAAGTAGTGTCAGAATGCATGCAGATTAAGAACTTTGAGATTGTTGTCAATTCTGTAGTGCAAAGCACATAGGTTCATCATAAATGAAGCAAATTGTCCACTATGTATCCAGTTCTTTGATGTCAATAGGATAATGGATATCTTAGGGATGTGTTAGCCAATATATTTTTGCATGTTGGATGCTCCAAATCAGCTAGCCATGTTTGCATCTTACAGATGGACAGCATTATATTGGCTGAATCTGTGGAAGGTACACAGTAATGCCACTGAGCATTTCAGCCCCTGCCCCCCCCCCCCCCCCCTGAAGAAGGTCAACCATTAAACCTCTACCACCTCCATCTCTCTCTTTAGGGTGTGAACTGAGTTTGTGTACAAAATTGTGCATTGCCTTTGTAATACAGGTTGCATCAAAGCTGAGATAAAAGTTTTCCTTTGACAGTATGTTCTGTGTTTAGAAATTGCTTGATTTTGAAAGAGCTTTTGGCTCTTCACAATGCTGTAACATTTACCCTGCCTGTTAGCAATCCCTTTCAACATGTTTGGTTCATAGCAGCATCCTTGCATTATGTTTAATATTTGATAATATCCAAGTCCTTGGGCTGTGGTTTTGTGACTCTAGTTTTTAAACTTCTTGCCATTGACCAGCCCAACAGGCCATGTAAATGCTTGTTTATAAAACTGTATTTTTTGTGTTGTCATCACTGGGATTGGTCTGCAAAGGTATGGCATTATGAAATACAATGTCCACATTCACTCCACTTGTATTCCATCCACTTACAGATTCTCAAGTAACTAGACTATGGCAGAACTACCTGCACCGACGGAGCTGCTGGTGCAGGTGCAGAAGGATCCCAACCGGGAGGGTGAGACAGTGATCCAGGTGGTACGGCATGCAGAGGGACCACGGCCCACTGACGACGAGGACGACACGGGCGGGGAGGAGCCCGTCGCCCGCGAGCCGACTGAGAGCTCCAAGAAGATCTACCTGCAGCGCTACCGCTCTGCCTGGGAGGAGGTGCCCGCATTCCGCGACTGGCTGATGCCCGTACCCGACGACCCGTTCTCCGCGGCCTGCGCCTCCTGCGAGTGCTCGATGAAGGCCCACCGCCAGCTGCTGATCGAGCACTGCAAGAGCAAAAAGCACCAGCGCCAACTGGGCCACCGCAATCCGCTGTACACGCCCGGGCCGGCGGCACGGCGCGGCAAGAAGCGCGCGCCCGCCTCGTCGCCCACGCCCTACCGGCGGATTATGAAGCAGCTGAAGCCGGAGCGCGATGAGCTCGAGGTATCCTACAACGACTCGAGCCGCGTCACGTACGCCATCGGACTGGGCGCACAGCGCGTCGGCTTCATCGGCTCGGGGAGCGTGGCGCGCGCTATCGCCAAGGGCATGCTGGACAAGGGCCTGGTCGTACCAGCCAAGGTGATGGTGAGTGCGCCCAGCGACCGCAACTTCGAGACCTGGAAGAAATGGGGCTGCCGCACCACGATCAGCAACGACAGCGTGATCCGCACGTGCGAGATTGTGTTCCTGGCAGTGAAGGCGTCGGTGCTGGAGCCGCTGGTGGCGGAGCTGGGTGTGATTGGTGAGGACAAGTCGCGCTGCTTCATCTCGCTGGTGTCGGGCGTGAGCCGCGAGCGCGTGGCCGCGCTGCTGGCCGGCCGGCGTGAGCTGCAGACCGAAATGGCAGAGCTACACGTGGTGCGCTGCCAGCCGAGCACGCCGCTCATGATCGGCGAGGGCTGCTGCTCGTACTCGGCCGCCGCCGACCTGCCGCACCACTGGCTGCTCGCCGTCGAGACCATCTTCTCGGCGCTTGGCATGTGCTATAAGGTGGAGGAGGGCCTGATGGACGCGCTCGCCGGCGCCTTTAGCAGCGGGCCCGCCTTCGCATACTCGTTCGTCGAGGCGCTGGCGGCCGGCGCCGTCAATATGGGCGTACCGTGGCACCTGGCGCGCCCCATGGCCGCGCAGACGGTACTGGGTGCGGCACGCATGCTCATGGAGACCGGCTGTACGGCGTCCGAGCTGCGCGACGAGGCCTCGCCGCCCGGCGGCACCACCTCGGCCGGCCTCATGACGCTGGAGAAGGAGGGGCTCAAGTACGCCGTGATGGCGGCCGTGCGCGCCGCCACCGAGCGCTCTCGCCAACTCGGCCGCGACGAGGGCCTTGCCGGCGACCCGCTGCAGTGAGCCGGTCGCGCGCGCCGCCCGGTCCGCCCCCGCGGGCAGCAGTGTCATGGACGATGTACGCACCGGATGTGGAGGGCTGTAACTCACAGCAAGGCGTGATACATTAAAGGCGGTGCACCGGCGGAAAAGTGGGGTCCCGGTTGTGTGTTCGTGTGCGTAGAGTGTTGTGTGCGGGATAAGCATTCAAGGTCAGTCGTGCTGCCATTGTTGTTTCGTGTTGCTGTCTTCGCTCAGCTTCATGGCAGAAATCCGCGGGTGTCCTATGCGTTTGGTACGCGTTTGGATGTCGGTCGTGTGTGGTGCTGTCGTTTCTTCACCCATTTTGTCGATGTAAGGGCTGGGATGCTGCCCGTGTCTGCAATGCAATAGGATCGCATCGACCCATCCCGTTCTGAACGGACCTGCGCTTATGAACACCACCACCATCGTACTAGAGCTCCTATACATATTGTACATATTCGTTAATGTGGTACTGCCGACTTCATAAAGCCGTGCAAGCACGCCTGCATTTTAAAACTACGCTTCTGTAACCATAATGGAACCTTGACAGCGATAGGGCTGAAACCCCTGATTTTTGTTCGGATTATCCAATCCGTTAATCGATTTCATTCCGCCCTCGAATGGCTCGCTGATAAAAACCACCCGAGCATTTCGGCGCCATGACACCGCGGGTGTAGGTGAATATGCTGCTCATGACGAGATCACGCGCCTCACGCTCCATACGTCACCTAACCAAAGTTATTAGCTTAGACGGCCCGAACCCCAACCCTTGACAGCTTTCTTTTTGTAACCAGTGATTGTACTGCCACGAAATTTTCAGCAACAACTCCCAAAAATTGTACCCATACCCTACTTGACCGCATCCAATGTGTTCTCAAAATAGTTATCCCTGTATTTGCAGGCAACGTCAATCGCACGCATGACCGATATTCCAGCACTTATGTGGCAAACTGATGTACCGACTCCCAACATAAGCGGACCCCCGTCTGCTAGGTTCGTGAAGCGAACCGACTATTATCACTGACGTCATACCCACATGGGTTCGACTTCAACGGGGGGACGGGCTCTTCTCGCCACGTTATCATCTGCATTGTGCCTCCTATGACATCGGTCGGCGCCTTGGTCGTCACACGACGTGCAAGGTGCCTTACCGATGCGCCAAGCTTCCTTCGTTTGACTAGCTGTAACATGTGGTGGATGGCTGAAAAAGGGCGACTGACGACATCATGCCGGTGTATCGGAGCCGCATGTTGTCGCCGCGATTCAAAACTTGTTCGTTATCAGGTATCTCGCAGAAGCACACGAGGAACCAATACTTCTTCGGGTGCTAGCGATTGGCAGGTAGTTGCGTCTATTAGTTTATTTTACTGCGTCGCACGTGTTCACACTATTCACAACTGCTCCACCCACACTCGGGGACCAGTACTGTCCAACCATTAACGATACGTCTTCCATAGCCGGTCCTTGTAGGCCACCTGCCCCGTGCTGTATTTCTTCTCTAACCGCTCCTGAAAAAAAAAAATGAGGCTTATGAGAACACATCGCACGTTTCATTCCGTCGCAGGTTTTAAAATGTCCCAAATGAGAAGCTTACTTCTTTAGAAGACGAGCTTAGAGCGCAGCCAGCAGTGTATAAACAGGCCTTTAGTCCTGGGTAAACTCAAATACAATACACCCCCCGCTCAGGAGAGCGGAAGTCATAAGCGAGGGAGTGCAACGGCTCAGACAGAGCAGCAGACAAATATTCTGCTCTCGGCATCCAGAATTCATCCATTATGCATAAAGCATCACCATTATGCATAAAGGTATGATGAATGACGTCATACACCAAGGCAATGGTCTGGCAATGTAGCTCTGTTCACTTGGTAATGGTGCCACAAGCAAATGATCACCTGCTCCCAGATATAGCTTAAAAGGACTGCTCCACATATGAAGATACTGAGGCAACGATCAGACATGGCGGGAAAAGCTCGCATGTAACTTAAGGTGTACTTGTAAGTGGAAAAGTGTAAGTAACTCAAGCGGCATTCTTGCATACATTTCATGATAACAGGTTTTTTAACTTAAGTTCACATTTTTTGTCACACGCCATTCTTAAGTTATTCGATCACCAGTCTCACGTCTGTCATGATAGGTAGTTGCCAAAATGCCTGTTATTCATTACGAAACGCGATTCGTGACCGGGACATGCAATGGGTAGCTCAGTCTGTCCGTCTTCTGCCATTGGAGGGACATTGTTGCTGAATCATTGCAAATATGAATGTCTCAGTGGCCATATCTAAGTGACCATGTACATAAAGCAAACAATGAGGTGGCGATACTCGCGTCACGTTTCCATGACACACAGGTCTGAGCAATATTTAAATAGGCAGCATGAAAAGGCTACACACATTTGCCTGTGTCAAGCTAAGGAACGCGAAGGACTAAAGTCTTAAAAAAGCATGGCTGTAAACTGCACTCAGCAGGCAGTGCTCTCGCAAATGACTATCTCAGTTCAAAACAGCGCGGAAGCAGCATGCTGTCTTTCACGTCAGCAAACCATCTTCACGTCACCACTTTCACGTCAGCAAACCATCTTCACGTCACAACTTTCACGTCAGCAAACCATCTTCACGTCACAACTTTCACGTCAGCAAACCATCTTCACGTCACAACTTCCAAAGTTTCAAAACCCTATGACATGCTTGCTCCTTTGCCTCAACAAGCCAGGACCAAGCATAACATGGGCATGAAGCTCTATGTCAACGTGACTGAGCCTGGTGCCAGCCTGCCCGACTCACCCGATCCCACCACATCAGATGGCAGAACAGCAGGATGGGGATGGCGGTGATACCGACGCCGCGGAAGAAGTTGCCCAGCGTCGGCCGGAACGTATCATACTGCGTCACGCGCATAGACATGAACCGCTGAATGGCCGGGTCAAACTGGAACACAAAAGGCCACCTGGTGGATGCAGCACACTCCAGACAGCATGGCCCGCTCTTCTTAGTGTAGGCTGCAGTCCAGCAGTCCACTCCAAAGATAGCACCTCACTATATAGGTGAAGCTCCTGCTTCTCAAGGTTTAACAACAAAGTTGACACCTTTGTGCTCAAATGGAAGCAAAATTATCAGCAAACTTTTGTTTTACTGGCTAGTCCATCTACTCTTTCCTATCCTATCCCCATCAGCTCAAACAGTAAGTATGAGTTACATATGTGTCACAGTGCTGTTACAAGGCACATTACTTCAAATTAGTTTTCCACAAACCCTTAATTTTCTATGAAGAGTGTAAAGACAGTTTCAAAGGGCTACACATCAGGCTAGAATTTGTGGACAGCACTTTGTAAACATGAACCCAATGGTCAATCGCTCTGATTATGTGCCTTCAAATGCATATGATCTACCACACCAACACCTCACCCATGAACAATCAGTCCGGGGACAGAATGGAAATAATTAGCTACTCTTCTAAACACACACCCATGTCATGTATACAAACATGGATATATATACCTGCCAAGAGACCAGACCTGATGTAAACTGCTACATCTTACAGTTCTCGTTCCATTGCAATTCATTCAAATGCATCTATGCTCTTCATTCAACAATATGTGAAGCTTTCCAATGCAACTATGGGTCTACTATCTAATGCATGCTACTTTTAAAATTCACCTGCCTAAAACATACTACACTCACCCCATGGACTTGCTGAAACTCAATAAAATATTTGTGGTTTAACACATTCCTATACCCATCTGCAATATTCCTTTCACAGGTAGTTTTGTGGTCCAAAGGGCTTTCTCATGCACACAGCTGTTTATGCTTAAGGGGGTGACATGACTCTCATCCTGAAAAAGCTAGCAGACGACACCAAGAATCTATCTCAAACCTGGTGTCTCTGGTTTCCAGCAACCTCAACCATCAATTTGCCTATATCAAAGTCATTTCAGGGAAGTGTCACTAAAATAATAACATGCTGTAAAATATATATTTTGCTTAATATTACTCAAAATAGTTGTCAACCCATGAGGGCTTTTCAACACTGACATGAGTAAATGTGTATGTGCATGAATTGATACATGCAATAGCTACATTACTCCATTGAGATTCTGAGCAGAGCTGTGATTTTGTGGCTCAAACAGGATTTGATCCTGCATGGTTGGTCAACGCGGCATAACCATGGTGCTTGAGAAGCTTCAGAATCATGGCTGGGAACATGCACTAGGCCCCAGCCAGCAGCTGGTCTACAAAAAGTGCTCTTGTAACCATAGTGCTTTAGTTAGGCTGCAAGTTGTCTGTAGGATGATCATCACATGGTAATATGTTTGTCTTACAAATACCTCTTGATCTCAAGACCATTATCCAACCAGGCATATAAATGCTAGAATTCCAGTATGATTGGTAGGCTGCACTGCAAGCAGATGCTTTCACACCCGTTCGAGCCACAAAACTAGATGCACCTACTTTTCCAGAATTCCCAGGGGGAGAATGACTTTTCTCACACCACACCACTAATTTCACTTCATGTTCAGCTGATCTAGAATGTGGTGATTTGCAACCACACAGATTCTGACAAAACCTGGTGGGCTGAGTCTAAATGTTTTCTGACTTTTGTCACACTGCATTACCAAAAAATTACAGAATGCTTTTACATGGCGACCAATAATCACTTATTAAAGATGACACATAATGCTCACTAGGAATTCTTCATATCGCGCAATGAAATGGTGCAATGCCGTATCGCTCACCACATATCCACCGCCTTGACGACCATGGGGGTTCGATACCAATTTCTGCCATTGGCCTTTCAATTTCATGCGGTGATTACGACGTTCTTCTATCAGCCTTCTTTCCTCCGGGGGTAGATCATATTGACCTGATGACATTTTTAATCGGCGATGCCACACTAGGACTTTGCAATGAGGGATATTCCGCCTTCTCAACCGCAGACCGTCCCCGCCATCCGCGTCACAATCCCACTAAATGCGCTGCTAAAAAGTGGCGTAGAAGAAGTCTTGGAGACAAATGCGGCCTGTCTCCGCGTACTTTGAAATGTCAAGCGGGTTTAGCATAAATGCCAGAAAATACACCACGAACGTGGTGCAAACACCATATATGAACTACGGATTGCTCCCAACATTGCACGGCGGAGTGAATGCAAACAGGGGCGGGTCCAGTATGTCGTGAAGGGAGGGGGGGGGGAGCACGCAACATTGTGGTGCCCCCTAGAGTTTGGGGTCTTCTCCAAACAAATTCTGCCATCAATTTTTAAGATAAAAGGGATATGTACATCACATCCCAAGCTTGTTAGCCAAAGTAGTACTAGCTTTTATCTTCTTTTTTTGCTATTTTTAGCCCTCGTTTTCTAAGGGCTGCGCAGCATAACATGAGTTCCAACACTTA